CCTAAGATTAAAAAGCTACAGCCAAAACCGGCTTCCCCTTGGAACAATGAAAACTTAAAAATGTTGAAAAGATCTTGCAGGGCGGCGGAGAGAAAATGGAGGAAACATGAGAACACAATTAATAAACAAATATACACTGAATTATTAAAATCATACAACAAAGCTGTTAGACATTCCAGAAATAATTACTTTTCTAAAATCATGTCTGAACACAACAATAATCCCAAAATTCTGTTTTCTACAGTCACAAATATTTTGGGTCGTGAATTTAGTTCTCTCCAGAAAACCCCCTCGGACTCTCTCCGTGAGGAGTTTGCAGCCCACTTCAGGGGGAAGGTAGACACCATCAGACGTAACATTTTTTCCTCCCAATGTCATGCTGCTCCCGATCAATCTGAGAGTGTGTGTCTACCTGACGAAACACTGGACAGTGTTGTCTTGGTTGAAGTTGAGATTATTGATAAAGTTTCCTCCTCAGTGAGGCCCACCACGTGTGTTCTGGACCCGATCCCCACAAGGTTTTTTAAACAACTTCATGACTCTTTTAGTGTCGAGATTTTAACTTTGATGAACTGTTCCCTTCAGACGGGGTCTTTCCTGCTGCTTTTAAACGGGCGGTGGTCAGACCCCTGTTGAAGAAGAGCAATTTAGATTTTAATGACTTTAACAATTTCCGACCGGTATCCAACTTACCATTTTTAAGCAAAATTTTAGAGAAGCTTGTTTTAATACAACTTAATGATTTCATCAACCACCAACATGTCCTAGAGAATTTTCAGTCTGGTTTTAGGGTGAACCACAGCACTGAGACGGCCCTTCTGAAGATTTTAAATGATTTTAGAACAATTATGACGCTCGGAGGGCAACAGTGTTGGTTCTGCTGGATCTAAGCGCTGCCTTTGATACAGTAGACCACACTGTTCTTTTAACCCGTTTAAAACAGATCGGCCTCTCTGGTGTTGTTCACAGTTGGTTCACTTCCTACCTCACAGACAGGACTTTTATGGTGAGTCTGGATACCTGTTCCTCTGGGGTCCACAGCATCACATGCGGGGTGCCTCAGGGATCAATTCTAGGCCCAGTGCTTTTTAACCTCTATATGCTCCCTCTGGGCAGCGTCATCAGGAGACATGGGGTGAATTTCCACAGTTACGCTGATGATACACAGTTGTACATCTCCGTGTCTCCTGATGACGCTCAGCCAATGGAAACACTTTTTAATTGCATTTTAGATATTAAATCATGGATGACTGAAAACTTTCTCCAGCTCAACCAGGACAAAACTGAAGTTTTAGTCATCGGTCCTGAGACCCAGAGAGAGAAACTTTTACCTAAACTACAGTCAATGTCTTGTTATCCATCACTACAAGTGAAGAATCTGGGTGTTATTTTTGACTCTGAGCTGACTTTTATCCCACACATTAAAAACATCACAAAAATAGGTTTTTTCCATCTTAAGAATATCGCCAGAGTCCGACCCATTCTCTCTCGGGCCAATACGGAGATGCTAGTGCATGCTTTTATTACCAGTAGAATTGATTACTGCAATGCCCTGCTTTCTGATCTTCCCAAAAAGAGCATCTCAGGTTTACAACTCCTACAAAACTCAGCAGCACGTGTCCTGATGAAGACCAGGAAGCGGGAACACATCACTCCGGTTTTAAAATCACTGCACTGGCTCCCCGTATGTTTCAGGATTGATTTTAAGGTTCTTTTAATGGTTTTTAAGTGTCTTAATGGTCTTGGGCCTTCTTATCTTTCAGAACTGCTTTTACTGTATAAACCCTCGCGGTCTCTGCGCTCCTCTGGCAGCCGTCTCCTAGTTATCCCTAAAGTTAAGACTCACACCCACGGCGAGGCGTCCTTCAAGTACTACGGCGGAACGGGCTGCCGGAGGACCTCAGGTCCGAAGGGAACATCCAGGCTTTTAAGAATAGGCTCAAGACCCACCTTTTTAGCTTAGCTTTTAACTGACCACTATTTATCTATACATACATATTTATCTCTTTTATTATTTTTATCATTTTATCTACATCTTAGTGTTTTTACATGATTATGTTTTCTTTTACTATCTTTATAATCACTTTTTATCATTATTAGCTTTTATTATTTTATATGTTATATCTCTTAAACCCTCCAGTGTTTCCTCTGCGGAGCCCTCTGCCTTGGGGCCGGTGGTCAGGGGCGGCGGCGGCCGGGGTGCTCCTCGGGTAGTGCCCGGGCACTGGTGGGGGTTTCTGCCCTACGCCACTGGGCGTCATGGGCCGGTGTCTTGGCTGCTGCCGTGGATCTGTTGCTGCCAGGGCAGATGGCTCCGCTGATGATGTGTCGTTCATTACCTGACCCAGCTGAACTCAGCCTATTGTTTCCTCTGGTGTTCACGAGTGTGTGTGTGCGTGTGTGTGTGTGCATGGACGAGTGTGCGGGTGATTGTATGTCCACTTTGGAAGTTGGGTGCGGGAGGGGAACTGTAATTTTTAATAGTTTTATACTTGGGGAGGGGGGCTGGGAATGTGGGATCTATGGGGCCATTTTAATCTGTAAAGCACTTTGAGTTGCATTTTGTTTGTATGAAAAGTGCTGTATAAATAAAGTTGATTTGATTTGATTTGATCAGTGAGACAGAAGACTCCAGAGATGTTCGTTTTTAGTTTAGGGAGAGACGGTTAAGAATTTCTCTGCCTGAGTCAGTTGGGTTAATGTGTGTTTCTACAGGTTAAACTATATAAAATTCATTAATGTCAGTAATTGGACCTAAATGGTGAAATTAATCTGAGACTGACTCATTCCAGGCTAATCCAGATGTTTCAGCCTTTATCTGTTACAACTGTGATGAGTGTGGCTTACAGCTGATGAAAGCCCCACGTTCACAATCTCAGACAACTAGCATAAAGGTTCAATATTCTAGAGCAGGGGCACAGATAGGATTTTCAAACTGGGGGGGACAAAGTTCCAATGTACCGTCCCCAAAACACAAGCACACACTATTGCAAGCACCTTAACTAGAGCTCAGTCAGTTTGTGTAATTTCATCCAGTGGTTTACGTAAAAACTAACTTTTATATACGTGTTTGAAGCCATTATGCAGTGGAACGCTGGCAACAAAGCTCTGCCTGGTCAACACCATCCAAGTCAGTCATTTGTTATTCTCCCAATCAGTTACTAACCAAAACCTCACGCTTTATGCAAAACATTAAATGATTTTCAGCATACCAATCTTTACAGAAAACATAAAAACCCTAAAAAACTGCACATAAAATATATTTAAAAATGAAATTCACGTATAACTTAGAGCAGCAGTTCCCAAACTTTTCAGCCTGACCAACAGATGTTCCTTCATATTTTTACGTTATTTATAAATTTTCATTATATTTGGAAAGTTTTAATTTATATATAAATATATAAATCTCTTTTAAAATTTCATATTTTACTTTTTTTATGATTATGTGACACACTTGACTTTCATACAAAACGCATCGGCATCTGCCTCTTTTTTACAGCTTTTTTTTTACATTGTCGCTACGTCTGTCACGTTAGCGGTGTTTTACCATCATTTCTACATCCATCACATCCCAGAGAAGGTTAAACCAACATCAAACCCAACGTTTGGAGCTCGTAAACTCCACACACCTCTCGTGCAGCACCAGCTGTCTGATGCTGCAGCAGCGTCCATCTTCCCGGCTGGATGAGTGAATTTCCTCATCAGAGTCAATATTCTGCTTCATAATCAGAGTCAGTCATGACCAGACAAAGTGATCAGTCAACAAAGACCAGAACTGCTGGCAATTATACATTTTATCTCATATTTACGCTCTTCATGCTGCACACATCTCCTCCTCTCCCCGACTGGGAGCCTCTCGGCGGGAGGCGATTTTCAAACTCTAAAAACTCCCAAACTTTGCTCTGCCTGAAGGTTCCACATCTCCACTATCTTCTGGTGTAAAGTAGTAACTTCATGAGGGATCATGTTTGTAGATGAGACTTGTTAAAGTCAGCAATGAGGCTTTGGCGTTTATAACGAGTAAGTCCCAACACCGACAACAACGTACTGAAACTAGAACCAACACGCATAAACAGACAGATCGGCCCCGCCTACTTACACTGTTGGTCTTTTTAAATATGCGGTAATCGTCTCTTCATCCTGCATCCTAGCAGCAACCACTTTGGCGCCTCTGGAGTCGGTGTTTGTTTACGTCAGGCTGCATTCAGTGTAATTGGAAAAAGGAGCTTCAAGCACTTAACCTCTGATTCTGTTTTCTTTCTGGCCTTAGTTGGGGGGAGGGGGGGGGGGACGGATCGGGGTCGATCTGAATCTGGGGGGGGGGACAGATCCCCCCCGTCCCCCACCCTATCTGCGCGCCTGTTCTAGAGTGCCCCACTCTAATCAGCTGATGAATCCAGAACATCTGCAGAGGGTTCCTGAGCCTTTAGATTAGGGCTGCACAATATATCGTAAATACATCGTTATCGCAATATCAGCATGCGCAATAATATGCAAATCGCAAAGAACAGATAAATGTCGCAATGAATGTTTAGCTTAAATGTTTGCTACACATAATGTATTCTGTCAATCAAACGTAACCATGATGTTTTTTAACTAATCAGAGCTCTTCACCCATTTGTCCAATTGGGTGGGTTCTCATAGGTTAGAGTCCCGCCCCCGAGGCAGACGGCACTTTATTTTGATGGTTAGCAAACACCTGAGTTAGCTTTGTTCTGCTGATTCTGCTTTTCTGGGGATCCACTGATCGCCTTTTCTTTTTCATTTCCTTTTTCCCCTTCCTCACGTCTTCAGCTTTTCTCATTTTTATGATTTTTTTTTTGTTTGTTTTTGATTATTTTTGTTCCTGAGTTAAGTTTTTATTTTTCGTTAAGTTGTATCGTCATCGTAATATTAATCACTGTTATCGAATATCGCAGGTTATCCTATCGTGCAGCTCTGCTTTAGATGGTCTCTCAGTCTGAGCTGGATTACTGATATAAAGGGACTTTCTCATAGTGTTTACCCAGCATCAGTATTTTTATTGTTGTTTACAGAAATAAAACAATCAAATAGAACTGATTACATCAGGAATTGATCCAATAAGCAGAAACTGATTCAACTTTTTTTTTTACAATGATAACATTCTAATACCTTTTAATTGTCTTTTTATATATTTGTGTGAATGCGATGTGGATTGTATTGTAAGGTGAGCCATGTCAAAGGCCAATTCCTGCCTCAATTCGAGGTGGACAATAAAGTTTAGAAGAAGAAGAAGAAGAAGAACTAAAATAAACAAAAAGATTTAAAACACAACATGAATAAAGATCAGTGACATCATCAGCTCCAGCCAATCAGCTGCACTCATTTCCTTTGATCAGGAAGAAGGTTCCAATAGCGACACCAAAGAGACCGATGGTCAGACCCACTGCACAGAAGACCGCAGGTCCGATCCCGGGCTGAGGGTCATCCTCCTGGACATCTGGAGGGACAGGACAGAGACGTTAAGGAGACAAATATTATAAATCTGACTTGTGCTGTTGCTGAACCTCTACTTAAGGCAAGGCAGCTTTATTTATAACTATAACACGTTCCATACACAGAGGCACTGCAATGTGCTTTCTGTTTATTAAAACCAACGTGACCCAAAATACAATATAAAAATTCAAAGGAACAAAGTTAAAGGGTCAGCAGTTACAGTGCAGAAGGTGCAGCATTAGAACATTCATTCAAAGGCTGATTAAAACATGAAGATTTTCAATTTTGATTTAAACGTTTCTAGAGTTGCGGCAGATCTGAGGTCATGAGGAAGCTGATTCCATCCGTGAGCAGCATAGTAGCTGTTACAGCTCCCTGTGTTTAGACCGCTGATTTATATTTTCTCTGTTCATCCTGAGAGGTGAACCCCAAGAACCAGCTGAACTCCACAGCCAGAGGGCGCCATCACCCAGAATCCTTGGACACTTATGGACCATTCCCATCTGTACCGGGTCGGCCCGGGCCGGGTAGCGTAGGTTGTTTACATATCTGGGTGGCCTGGTACTTTTCCGGGCCAACCAAGGCTCATTCTCAGCCCTCTTCTGGAGGGGGTCTGCTTCAGGCCGACCAGGGCCAACACACCCACTGCTGACAGCAAATTCACACCTTCCATTAGAGCAAGCCTCTGATTGGTGGGTAGAATCAGCCCACATGGGCTTAAGGCAAGGATGTGTGGAATCAACCGGGCCAGGCTGGGGCCGACTGGGGCTACCCGGCCCGGGCCGACCCGGTACAGATGGGAATGGCCCATTAAGGCCTGCTGCTGCTCCTGACACAGGCAGCTGCAGCGCTTCAGCTAGTTAAGAGGCCAACGGTGGGTGTGACGGAGATTGTAAAGAAGGGAACCAGGATTGTGAACCAATGCCGGGGATCGGGAAAGGGAAGTGGTCGGAAGGCTGGCTGGACAGGAGCGTTACAGCAGGTTAGGGTTTGGGCTGTCTTCGAGGGTTGTTCGGGTTGGTTGGCCAAAGGCCTGTACAGGACAAGACAGCGGCCTGGCTTAGCTTCGGAGCAGCCTCGGTTGTTGCGGACAATTGGGAGGAAGGGGATGAGTAGGGCTGGAGCAGCAGTTCAGCCGGTGGGGGCGGCAAAGAGGGACCGTGGAAGCGGCAGTGATGCGTCAGATGGTGACTGGGATGCGCAGCTGAAGCAACAGAGGCTACCTCTAACCCGTTGGCGGTGTCCAGGGAGCTGAGTGCCGTGGCAGGGGATGTGCTAGACGCTACCATGGTGTTAAGTGGGCTGGTTGTGGTGGTGTGCCGGAATTGGTCCCATTGCCACAAAGTGCTGCGGCTTGAGAAGTTTCTGGGGGTGGATGTGGTGGTTTCCGAGGTGAGGTCTGGTTGTGGGATTAAGGGTGTGGTGTATGGCATTTCCAACAAGGTCTCTGAGTCGGAGGTGTTTGGTTCCCTGAGTGGGGCAGCGGTGGTGGCTGTTCGGTGTCTGGGGTTTAACGCACGTGGGTCCACTCCGCTGCTGATTACTTTCGACGTGGTGGAGCTCCCTGCTCATGTCCAGTTGGGCTTCCTAAGTTTCGCGGTGAGGGCGTATGAGGAACCTCCTCTGAGGCGTTTTAGGTGTCAGGGATATGGTCATGTGGCCGGTGCCTGTGTGGTAGGGGTGCATTGTTGGAGGTGTGGGGGTGACCATGACAGCAAGGTTTGTGACTTACCGCTCCGATGCTGTAACTGTGGTGGGAACCATCAAGCTGCTTATAGGGGCTGTGTGGTGTATGGGGCGGCGGTGGAGGTGGTGAAGGTTCAGGCTGAGCATAAGGTGTCGTTTGCTGAGGAGGTGCGTCGTATGGGCGTGCAGAGTAGTGGTGCATCCGGGCCTTGTAATGCGCCTTTGTCAACTGGTGGTGGGGATGAGGGGGCGGGTGTGGTGGTTGTGAGGGATAAGAGGACGTTTTTAGCGTTTCTAGTTGAGGCCTTCTGGAGGGTGAAGAATGGAGCGTCCAACAAGTCTGATGTAGCGCGTGAGGTGACAGCAGTGGCGGGGGCCTTGTTGGGTTGTTCTGACATGTCCCCCGGGGAGGTTTGGGGGGTCAACGTGTTTGCGGGGTGTTGGGGGTTCTGAGTCTGCTGTGGATTGAGGGACGCCCTTGGTGGTGGGTGTTGATGGTGGGGGTGTGGGGTGAGCCTCCGTGTGGGGTAGTGTGTTTTCACTGGGGTGTGAGCGGGTGGTGGGTTTTGTTGGTGGTTATGTGGGAACACAGGGTGGGATGGTTGGTGTGCCTTTTGTGTGCAGTGGGTTGTGCTGGCTCGGTGTGTTGGCTGGTGTGGCAGCAATACGCCTTATGGGCGTCTAGCCTGCCTATTTTGAAAGAAGAAGAGTAAAGAAGGAGCTGGAGAGAGGAGGCGCAGAGAGAGAGAGCTGGAGAAAAAAGGAATCAGTTGCTATGAGGAACTGCTGAGCTGGGGAAAGGAGAAAGGACTGAGCTCTGACCAGAGGTCCCGAAGCTGATTAAGAGCTGAAGAGAGATGTAACAAGAGACCGGACTGAGAGGACACGCTGAGAGGTGTCGAGAGGAAGGAAAGCTGCTGTTTTTTAAGGTTGAAATACGAGTTTCCCGAGCGTTCTCCGTGTGATGGGGTTCTACGCCCTTTTGCTGGGATCTGTGATGAGTACCGCTGACTTTATCACCTAGTTGTCATCACTCCCTTCCCTCAGTTAGTCTCATTTTGGCTTAGAGCTCCTTTTGATATAATCCTCCGTTGTCTCCTTAAGTTTTAATACTCATTTTGAATATTCCTCCTTTGACTCCTTACATGTAAAGCTCCTTTTGATTTATTGTGTTATGCACATCCACTTCCTCATGAATGACTTCCTTTGTTGGTCTTAAAACCTTTGTATTAATTATAAATAGTAGTTGAGTGCCCACTGACCGCTAGCCTCTTAGTTCGCTGTCTTACTGCCAGCTGTTAGTGAGTGGGGCCTTAGAGAGTCACCCCAAAATTCCACTATCTCCGCTCCGGCACGAACTCCGCAGCAAAATCGGTCCCGTTGTAGTCAATCAGAGCAATTCCACTACTGCGGCCGTGCGGCGCAGTGCACCGCCCGCCGTTCCGCCATCCGGCAAATAGAATCGATCCTATTTTTGCTGGACGCCGGAGCACCTCCGCAGTAAATGGACAGAAATCACAACGGCCCAACAGGAAAAGGAGCAAGCACAACTTCCGTATATCACAATAAATCGATAAACAAAAGGCGTTTTTTGTTTCATATGCACAGGTTTAACAACCTTTAACAACTATCAATGGCGGCTGAACTTTAAATGCACAAAAGTAAGCCATAAATACAGTTTCTACTATCAAAGTAGTCACACTTTGTTGATCCAAACACTGCTGATCTCTACACACAAATGATGGGCAGATTAAACAGTTCATGCCGATGCTTCTCCCACACAACGGGTGTTTGGATCTAACTTCCGCGTTTACTGCTCGGACTGTATCGCAAGATCTCGAAAATCCCGCGCATGCTTGTTTGCCCACCTCAGGTCTCCGCACCGGAGCGGAGCCGTTGTAGAGCGGGTACCAGTAAAAATTGAGTTCGGAAGTGAGCGGGGGCGGAGCGGAGACAGTGGAATTTTGGGGTCAGGCGGCAAGGCCGTTCGTGTGCTACCTGACCACATTTGTGATTTTACTCCCTAATAGGGTTAAAGTTTCCTTCAGTTTAGTTGTTTCAAGGAGACCATTTTCTTCCCCTAAGTGGGTATTTTTAGCTGAATTAGAGCATTAAATCCTCTCACCTTGTGTTTTGTGATTGTCCTACAGGCCTGCTGGATCACCCCACCCGTAGGCGCAGTCCCCAGAAGTTCCAAATAAAAATTATTTTTTATAATTTTAAGACTGAATCATCATGTTTATGTTGCAGGTCCACCACTCCTAGTGAGTCTGGCTCAGAACCCATAACAGTAGCAAAAAGCAGCTTCACCCAGTTTGGTTCTGACCCGGTTCTACCAGCTGACTGATTCCTAAGGATCTCAGAGCCCTGCTGGGCCTAGATACCTGAAGGAGAGCTGACAAGTATTCTGGCCGCATGCCATTGAGTGGTTTATAAAAGTACTTTGAAACTGATCCTGTAGTTTACTGGTAACGTGTAGAGATCTAAGAACAGGAGTGATGTGTTCGGTTCTCCTGGTTCTTGTTAAGACTCTAGCAGCAGCGTTCTGAACAAGCTGCAGTTGCTTCACAGCTTTTTAGGAAGACCAGTTAGGAGAACATTGCAGTAGTCCAGCCTGCTGGAGATGAACACATGAATGAGTTTCTCTAGGTCTGGTCTGGACATGAGACCTCTGAGTCTTGATGTTTGATGCAGATGATGAAACGCTGATCTAGTTATAGCCTAATGTGACCAGTGGAGCTCAGGTCTGAATCAGTTATAACACCTAGATTTCTAACCTGGGTCGTTATTCCTCTGGAGCCGAGCTGAGCGGTAACATCCATCCTTTCCTTCTGATTTCCAAAGACAACAACTTCAGTCTCGTCTTTGTTTAACTGGAGGAAGTTTGACTGCATCCGGTCCTTAACTTGCTCCAAATACTGACAGTGAGTCTAGGGGACCACAGTCACTAGGTGATAGAGCTAGGTAGATCTGGGTATCATCTGCATAAGATGACACCTTCTCTGGATCCAGATGCCCTAATGAATTAAAGACCAGTGTCTAAACTTCCCTGATCTCCCAGTCCCAGGGCAGACACTACCACTAGGCCACTGAGAAGGTACATACACACCTACATGCTTTCTTTTATACACATACCTTCGTAGCATTCCAAATGGCCAAGTATTTCATCAAACATGATCAGAAGTTAACCTTTTACTTACAGGCCAACTTCATACAGGCCACTCTGTCCCTATCCAGCTGTCTCCTTGAGATAACATCATGGTTCTCTTCAAACTTCCTGAAACTCAACAGCAATAAAACTGAAATTCTACTCATTGG